CAACAAAAAATCAAATAACGCCACTCCCGAATCATTCTACAGAACGACTCTTTCACCTTCTATCAATGCTTCTCTCAGTGCTTTACCTCCTCTCTCGGATATTCTGTTCCACCTAAGATCAAATTGAGTGAGAGCGTTGTTTATTTTTAGTGCTTCTCCGAGTGCTTTGCCACCTCTCTCCCGCATGTCGTTCCCTTCAAGATCAAGTTGAATCACACTGTTATTTAGTTTGAGTGCTTCTGCCAGTGCTTTACCTCCTCTCTCGGATATTCTGTTCCACCTAAGATCAAGTTGAGTGAGACTATTGTTTACTTTCAGTGCTTCTGCCAGTGCATCACAACCTCTGTCCCGCATGTCGTTCTTTGCAAGATCTAGCTTAGTGAGAGTGTTGTTTACTTTTAGTGCTTCTCCGAGTGCTTCACCACCTTTATCGCATATATCGTTTCCTTCAAGACTGAGTTGAGTGAGACTATGGTTTACTTTTAGTGCTTCCGCCAGTGCGTTACCTCCTCTCTCGGATATTCGGTTCCATCTAAGATCAAGTTGAGTGAGACNCTGAGTTGAGTGAGACTATGGTTTACTTTTAGTGCTTCCGCCAGTGCGTTACCTCCTCTCTCGGATATTCGGTTCCATCTAAGATCAAGTTGAGTGAGACTATTGTTTACTTTTAGCGCTTCTGCCAATGCATCACCACCCCTGTCCTGCATGTCGTTCTTTGCAAGATGTAGCTTAGTAAGAGTGTTATTTACTTTTAGTGCTTCTCCGAGTGCTTCACCACCTTTATCGCATATATCGTTTCCTTCAAGACTGAGTTGAGTGAGACTATGGTTTACTTTTAGTGCTTCCGCCAGTGCGTTACCTCCTCTCTCGGATATTCGGTTCCATCTAAGATCAAGTTGAGTGAGACTATTGTTTACTTTTAGCGCTTCTGCCAATGCATCACCACCTCTGTGCTGCATGTCGTTCTTTGCAAGATGTAGCTTAGTGAGAGTGTTATTTACTTTTAGTGCTTCTCCGAGTGCTTCACCACCCTTATCGCGTATATCGTTTCCTTCAAGACTGAGTTGAGTGAGACTATTGTTTACTTTTAGTGCTTCCGCCAGTGCGTCACCTCCTCTCTCGGATATTCGGTTCCAGCTAAGATCCAGCTGAATCAGACTGTGATTTACTTTTAGTGCTTCTGCCAGTGCTTCGCAGCCTCGATCGCACATCTGATTGCCTCTAAGATCAAGTTGAGTCAGAGTGTTGTTTAGTCTCAGCGCTTCTGCCAACGCTTCACCTCCTCTCTCAGATATTTGGTTCCCTTCAAGATCAAGTTTAGTAAGAATATTGGTTACTTTCAACTCGTTTGCAAGTATGCTAGCGACTTGGTCAAAAGTGTTCGGAGCCGTCTTGTCAGCGAAGTCGCTTAATGTCTTACGAAGTGTTAGTGACGATAGTTGCATCATACAGGACAAATGTGGCACCACGGCTTTGATCACTTGTTCCGGACTGGTAGAGAGCAACGATAAGGAGCGAAGATTTAGCAATGAGTCCTTGGGCAATTGGATGAAGAACAAGTCAAAATAACCGAAGGTCTGTTTACACAGACACAGAGACCGAACTTGTGCTGTTGATGGAAAGTGTTCGTAGATAAAGCTACATTTGGATTTGCTGATGCGATGAAAGTTCAGATCAAACTGTAAACTGCCGAGTAGTCTATCGAAACGATCGTTTAATCCAAAGAATGAGTACATAATATCATAAGCGTCCAAATAGTCGATGATTTCAAGAATCACTTCATTCGCAAGCGATTCAAATTGTGTCATATCTAAACAAATGTGCATTGTCAAGATTTCGAATCCTTGATCTTTCTTATATGAAGGAAGGCTTTGAAACACTATGGCAAGGTGCATACTAGCTCTTGAATATGAGTAGCAGTGCCAGATTCAGTCATGGTTCTTCTGAATATCATATACGGTTCGGTTCTCTCAGTTTAATAGAAAGGCTAGCCAACCATTAGCACTTCACTATGCTCATGACCATGGATGTCATTGTGCTCTGCACTATTCTCAACATATTGGAATCATCTAGTAATCTAGTGAGAAATTGTTCTGGTTTGTGTGTGCCCCAGTGAATCTGGTTAAAAAATACAGGATCAACTTACCAGGAAAAGGTAAACTACTATCCAGGACGTCGAAAACAGTGAAATTAATTAGCAATTAAATGCGATTTAATACGCTATTAATAAGCATTTACATGGATTTCTTATCACATTTGACCGAGCCACATTTTATTGCCAATTAATGACACCGTTTTCCACGGCCTGGATAGTAGTTTACCTTTCGCTCAATTCTTTACGCTTTTTTGGTGTTCGTTATTAATTGGCCTTTTTCATTGTCGATTTAACACGCTATTAATAAGCATTTAAATGTATTTTTTATTACATTTGACTGTCTCAGTTATATTTTTCATGGGGCATTTCATCTGTTTACCTGTAGATAGAGAAGACGCCCCATCAAAAGTATGAATGGGATTTGATGAATTAGTTGACTACCGAATGATAATTCATCTAATTCAAGAATATGATCGAAGGATTTTTCAAAATTTGTTGAACCGGACTTTTAAATTAAAGGACGGAGGAGAATAAGCGAGTGTCGAGCACCCCAATAAAACTCATCTTCGGAATCAGCATAAAATTCTGAGTATTTTAGCTGGCTTACTTTTCCAAAAATCGCATTCTAATTTTTATCGAAAATTTTAGGGGCAAACCTTTGGAACATTGAAAAAATGTTTTCCTCTAAACTTTTCGAAACACACCTTTTCTCAGTCAGAATTTTGTGCTGATCACGAATATGGGATCTAAAGCTAGAAAAAGTAAACATTTCTTGGAGTCGAATGCAAAAAACTGAAGGTTGGTCAAGGTCAGTCCAAATGATACTTTGCAGGTTTTCACCAAGAAAGAGTCATTCACAAACTTGAAACTAAACAGCCATTTGTAAAAGTAGTTGCTGTATCCAAATATGTAAACAAAAATGCAGTGTGAGCGTATTTTGAGCAAAGATGTTAAGAAAAAGAGGAAAAATAGTAAAAAACCGGCCACAATCCTTCACTGTATCGCCTCTGCATTCCAAACGAAATCTTGAACTAATGTGAAACTTATATGCTAGACGCAGTTTTTCAAACTGTTTTCATACGATTTACTTCACGCTGGATATATACTGCAGTGCCTAATACGCTGAAAAGGTCAAACTGTTATGACTGTCTTAGTCATAATGACCCAATCGGCACTGGGTCAAATACAACTGGGTCAAATGTGATAAAGTCAGAATAGTTTTACTTTTTTAATCAAATATTTCATATTTGTCATATGAACGAACACTTTGAACTGTTCTATAAACTGATCTATTTTGGAAGGGTATGCCGTCCCCGTCTTTTCTACCTTTCAGTAGAAATGCTGTGAAATAAAAACTAAAACTCACTACGGCTTGCACACCTAAGCATGACTTAGCAGATCGATTGCTCACCACTTGTGACAACGATGAACGCTTGAAACACGCACAGGATGGTAAGTTGATCCTGTATTTTTCAACCAGATTCGCTGAGGCATACACAAACCAGAACAATTTCTCACTAGATGATTCCAATATGTTGAGAATAGTGCAGAGCACAATGACATCCATGGTCATGAGCATAGTGAAGTGCTAATGGTTGGCTAGCCTTTCTATTAAACTGAGAGAACCGAACCGTATATGATATTCAGAAGAACCATGACTGAATCTGGCACTGCTACTCATATTCGAGAGCTAGTATGCACCGTGCCATAGTGTTTCAAAGCCTTCCTTCATATAAGAAGACCTTCTTTTTAAAAGAAAATACCTGCGGATTTTTTGTTTTAATGTCAATCGCCACTTGAAAAGAAATGCAAATCATCAAAAAAAAAGGAAAACGTATAGTTTATGCTACAGTGGATAATACGACGAAAAAAGTCAAACTACTAGGACTGTCGCAGTCATACTTTTGATGGGGCGTTTTCTCTATCTACAGGTAAACAGATGAAATGCCTTATGAAAAATATAACTGAGATAGTCAAATGTGATAAAAAATACATTTAAATGCTTATTAATAGCGTGTTAAATCTAGAATGAAAAAGGACAATTAATAACGACCCAAGTCGACCATTTATGGACATGTTGACAAAGTTATCTGCCTAGATTCTTAATCAAACGCCGTTTTTATTTTGTTACAAACTTTTACACTAGCAATGTTTTTTTTCGTGTTTCCATGGTTATGCCAGAATAAACTGAACTGAACTGAACTGAACTGAACCTCTTGGAACCAAGATCTTGACATCTTAGGTTTTTTCGAAAAGATCTTGGCAAGATCTTTGCTACAGGATGTCAAGATATTTTTGTTCCTAAGATCTTGCCCATGATCTTGCGTACAAAATCCTAAAAATTATCTTGTGTCCAAGATCTTGTCTGTTAAATGACTTGTACCCAAGACCATGGCTAAAGATCTTTGATTCAGAAATATTTTGACATCTTGTACCAAAGATCTTTGAGTAACCATTGGTTATCATTCACCGTCTTATTTTCGCGATGTCATCCTATATATGAACATTCTATTTTGTGTCTAATGTTACTATGTTTTAGTCGACAACAGAGTCAAAATTCCATCAGGGAGGCATTAGGGATCGGAGAAGCACTAAAAATAAACAACGCTCTCATTCAATTTGATCTTAGGTGGAACAGAATATCCGAGAGAGGAGGTAAAGCACTGAGAGAAGCATTGATAGAAGGTGAAAGAGTCGTTCTGTAGAATGATTCGGGAGTGGCGTTATTTGATTTTTTGTTG